GAAGAGTGGAAGATCTAGTAGTTCTGATAAGCGACCAGGCTGAGCTAGTAGAAAATAAACCATTGCTGCAAGGGGACCAAATTAATTCATCCCTACCTTTGCGAAGTTGGATTTGTGAGCGTTGAACTTCCTCTACTAAAGCAGAACCACCCAAAGAAAAACGTTTATCCAAGTTCCATTTGCCATGTGAGACCACATCACGAAGTCTTAAATTAGGGGATATGATGATCCAACCAAGTACAGATAAACTACCTGAACCCCTCCAATTGTCATACCAGAATGGAGCACTGCCATCTCGAATCAGTCATCTGCTGTGTTCTAAAATGAGTGCGAATTGATGGGAAAGATGTTTCCATATTGATGAATCTTTAATACTAACAGGAATGTTGGCAATGTCTAGGTGATTATTGAGATATTTTTGTCGCAAGAAATCAGCCCATATAGAGTGCGAAGAGATAAGTCTCCATGCCATTTTACATTGGAGCGATTTGATCACATCAAAGAGATTGCGAATACCCAACCCTCCTTTAAAGATTTTAAAACCAATTGTATAATACCATGTCATCGGTACCAAAGTAACATCGTCGTGAATACTTCTTCGATTGTTGTTTACTGCCTTAAAACTTTTTACCATGATGCCACGGTCCTAAAACCATGGGAAGGTTATCATAAAAACCTTTTATAAAGTGAGATTATTGTAGTAAATACTCAAGTTATTTGAGGATCCAAGTAGGCTTGGGCATGGTTCGGGTTGGTTTGATTTTGAGTCCAACCCATAACCGAAACCGACTTAGTCGGTTTGGATAAAGGGAAAAATTCATAAATAAGGTGTATACTTTACACCAATTCAAAAATCAGGTTTATAGTTTGAAAATTCAAAAATCAAGTTTTTTTTAATGAAATAATAAATTATTAAATCAATTTATTATTAAATATTTAATTATAATATAATTAACTCACCACACATGCACCACCCATACCGCTCCGGGGACTATTTCGGCGACCATTCGACCACCACTCTTCTCCGGCGAATGTTTCGGCAACTGCTCCGATTCCGATAATTATTCCGATGACTATTCCGGTGACCATTCTGGTCACATATTTACAATTTACGTTCACAATTCAAAAATTTTATAGGTAACAATTAATTCGTTGGTCACAGATTTCAAAATTAGTTGGTCACAGATCAAAATTTATAGGTCACACAGTCACATATTTTCAAATTAATTGGTCACATATTTTTTTACGGTCACAGATAAAAAAATGATTAATTTAATTGGTCACATATTTTCAAATTTGTTGGTCAAAAATTATTTTTCAGTCGCATTTTGTCAAATTTTTAGGTCACAGTTAAATACTTGATCACATACCACTGGCACTACTTCAGCCACCACCACCACTCACAGCCACCAAACAAAGCACGGCCATCACCCCAACATAACCGTCCACGGCCACCACCCCAACATAACCGTCTTCATCGTCGACACAACCACTGGCAGAAAC